GCTCTTTCCCCAAATACTCAGAAATCATTTGCCCATCTTCTCCTGGAACTTAGCCTATCGTCACTTAAGAATTCTCATCTGGGGCTGGGGATGCAGTTTAGCTGGTAGAATGCTCTCCAAGCATACATGAAGCCCTGGATTCAGTCACCAGTACTGTGCAAACCCAGAGATGACATTACATACCTGTACACCATTCAGGAGGTAGAGACAGGGATTTTTTTAAAGTATCTTATTTAGACTTATTAAATTAACTCACTCCAAAAGATGAGTATAGGCGTATGTTAGCTATCAGAAGGAGAATCCAGTAATGGAATTTCTGGGGCTGGAAAGGTTTTATTGGTTAAGAGCACTTTAAACTCTTTCAGGGGACTTGTTTGGTTCTCAACATCCACATGATGGCTCAAAAGCATTCAGTTCAAGGATTCTGGTGTTGTTTTCTAACCTCTGAAGATCAATGTGGTGCACAGGCATGCATGCATACCAAAACTTATACATAAAATGAAATAAAAATATTACTAGGCCACATCTTTTTACTTAAAGAAAAAGATGCATTGAAATACTACATCAATCTGGTCTGAGGAACTCTGAATACTGCAGTGATTAGGCTGAATCCTTAAGACCTACCCATCTGGAGTATCCACTGTGGATCATCCAAGCCCTTGGCATCTATTATCCCTGTTTCTCACAGTATCCTTAGGAGGTGCCCAAGACTCCAGCTTGTCTTTACAACTCATTTCTATTCTATGCCACGCCTACCTCCCACTTCCCAATTCCACTTTCCAAAGCTTTTATTAACAAGACTCTTCTGAGCCAACTTATAAATAGTACAATATTGTTCCCAAACACATTGTAGTGAGGTATGTGTGGAATGATTCTTAAACTTCCAACACTAATTCCTGCTCACCGTCTTTACACCACCCTGTTCTCTCTGGCGACACACATCAGTCAAGTAAAAGTGCCATTGTCAAAGCCTACCAAGAAAAAAGGAAGCCATCCTACTGGATACCAATGTTCATGCCAAGCCAAATTTCCCACCAAATCTGCTATGCAGAAACCTTGGTCTCTAGTTGTACTTAAATAGCTGTAGCCTACTTTATCTCACTCTGGCATTCTGCACCTTAACCTTTCTCTATCTTCTTGCTCCATGGGGACTCCCTATGTGTTTCTATCATTTTTATCCACAGAGAAAAACAGCATATCCTTGAAGGCCCATCAACTTTTCCATAGTGCTGATAGCCACGGGAGCCAAGGGGACACCGGACATTGTTTTCCTCTTTTGGATTCTGTGTAACAATCATGTACTTAAAAAAGTAATATATACTAATTATACAAAGATGCATAATAAATAACATTTCTGTGCATTTATATAACATACTTTCATACACACGCCCCATAAACTTTTTGTTCTCATTCCTCCTTCTGCTTCCACATCCCTGATAGTCTCCCTCCTACTTTCTTGTCCTGTTTCTCCCCCTAGATCCTACTTATCACATATGCTTTAAATGACCATATCTTCTTAAATAATCTCATGCAAAAGAGAGAGAGCCAAGAAAAAATGTTTCGGGAACTGCTGGCATGACTTTCTGATCACTTCCGGTTGCTAATATATTTCACACTCTTAGCTACTCCTCAACAAGACTTTGACTTTCCTTAAAGGATGGGCTTTGGAAAGTCATTTCTCTCTTGGCTTACCGAGCTCTTGTCTCCCCCGCAGGGAAAATAGTCTGTGCTCATTTGCAGTTCCCAAAAGACTACTGTCCTAAAATAGATTCCTGAAGTTTTTATCATCAAAACATTTATTTTGCATATCAACCATTTTGCATTCGGTCTGTGTGTTGCTTTACAGTGTCTCATCTATCAAAGAAATTATCCCACCACCTGCATGGTATTTACACAGCATAACTTAATGTCTCAAGGAGAGCCAGTGATTTGTGACACAGATTATGCACCACTGTAAGGTATCATATGTTTAGAAAGAAAATAGCAGCCAATTTAGCTGTGGCACTGGACTGTCAAACCTTTGTAATATCAGGCCAACACTTAATATCTAGTATTGAATAGCTACAAAGTAAATGTATGTTTGGGATGTAGTTTAATTGGTAGAGTGTTGGCCCAGCATGCACAAGGCCCTATGTTGGATCCCTAACAGCCCATTAACCAGGCATGGTGGTATATGCCTGTAATCCTAGCAGCAGAGAGAGAAGTAGAAGGATTAGTAATTCAAGGGCATCCATAGCTACATAGTGAGTTTAGGGCTAGACTGAGCCACATGAGACTGTGTCTTAAAAAATAGACACAATTTGGGTTATAAATGTCTGTGTTTATGATGGGTCCAATGGTTTCCAAATGCTAGAATTTAGATTGTAAGGGAGCAGTGTTGGAAGAGAAAATAGTCTCCGTCTGCTTCTTGGCCAAACCTCAACCACCCATTTCATATGTCTTCCTGTTTCACTAAGGGTTCTTACAAGCAACTGAAATGAATTCTTCTTGACAAAAGGAGAAAAAGAAGGCACTTGCATTGCATTTGGTAGCCTGAAGAATAGTTGGGAAATCTATAGAAGAGGCTTGGGTCATGGGCAAGACCTAAGATGAGCTACCAACCTGGGAAAATTCCCAAAAGTTCTGTCTTCAAACTTCTTGGCAGGTGCACATGTTTGGCTAAGCCCAGACTGCAAGCCATGCATAGCTTCCGGGAGATCTGGGGAAGCAGGTGTCTGGCATTTCCCCACTTCTGTGATGGTATATGGCTCTGCTTCTCATATGGTTTAAATGTGGGAAGCCCCCAAAGATGGGAAAGGGTTCACCAGTTGGCCAGCTAAAAATAATCTGTGTCTCCTACACTTCCTAACTGGGTTAAGCCCATTATTGGGCACCCTAAATTTCCTCTCTTCTTTGACTTTTTGCCAGACCTGCTTGACAGTCCTTAGTTCTGGGCAAGAATAATCATGGCTTAGTGGGTCTCAGGTGCTTAAAAACCACTGAGGAAGTATACACAATTAAGTCTTTGGTCTGTGAATTCCATTAATAATATGGTTCTAAGTCCATTTGTAATTCCCATTTAACATATAGAAATTTAATTCTGTACATGTGTTCATAAAATTCTAATGCAGATGTCTGCCTAGGATCCATTTTTTTTTTTAAGGTATTTGTATTTGTTTGCATGAATGTCTGGGTACCACATGTGTGTAGTACTCACGGAGGCCAGAAGAGGGCATCAAATTCCCTGGGACTGGAGTCAGGGACAATTGTGAAAGGCCATGTGGGTGCTGGGAATTGGACCTGCACCCTCTGGAAAAACTACCAGTGCTCCTAACCATTGAGCCACCCAGTCCTGGGATCCATTTTCCATTTTAGTGCTCCCCATTTTCCACAGCTCATTTATAAATCATTTCAAGTTTTCCCTCCAATCCCATGAGTCTCAACCACTTCCTTCTACAGGGAAAGCAAGGCCAACTAAGGTGAATTTCCCCAACTTCTCCATAGAAGTTCTAACTCAAAATTTCTTCCTGTCTTTCCCCATTTTCCCCTCACTCCCTGCTTCACTCTTCCTTCTTTCCTAAGAAGGAACTGATGAAGGTTGCTAACAAAAATGCTCTCTGGTTCAACCTCAGACCCCCCTGCCTAATGTGTATTTTCCTTTGATCTACCATCTCTCAAGTCTAATATTCCCTTTGATCCCCAAATACTCAAATCCTTCTTGATCTAAAACCTCTTCTCTCCATTGACTCCCTTCCTGTTCCTTCCTCACTTCCTAAGGTCTGGAAAATGTAATTGTACTCAGAATGTTTTCCAGCTCTTATGTTTCTTGTCCCCCTCCTGAGTAATTCCTGGCTTGCCCTCAGTGCATAACTGCTCTCCAGCGCCACCCACAGTCCTCACTCCTGAAGCCCACAGTCTCCTTAGTCTACTTTCTCCTGGACCTCACAGAAGCACGTGACCCTGATGCAGTTTCCTGTCCTCCTGTTGTGACTTTTGGTATAAGTCTCCCGATTCTTCCTTCTGCTCTTCAGATCTTCTACTTCATCAGTGTCCTGGTCTGACTTTCCTCCTGGTTTGATTTCCCATCCTGGCTTCTATCCGCTCGTTGGCTGTGACCAGCAAGGTGATTGCACTGAGCTCTGTGGCCCAACCCTAACTATTCAGCTTTAAAGTTCAGATCTTTACAAATGATGGGCTCTTTTCCTTCCTCGTCTCCTTCCACAACCCCCTTTTTGTGAAAATTAATTGCTGTTAAGTATACACAGTATGCAATCTGCTGTTTTAATCATTTTTAAATATACATTTTGGTGACTTTAAGTACATTCACCTTCTTTGGCGCCATCATTCCTCCCCCTCATTCCCAAGAATCCAACCCAGGACTAACTCAGTACAGGCTAGGCAAGCACTCTACAATTGAGCTATAGCCCTAGCCGCCATCAACATTCATTCCTTTTTGGTAACTTTTAAAATACGTAGTAGCTAAGTGGAAAAGGGCCATTTCTTCTTAGCATGCTTGCTATTGGAGCTTGTGTATCAGACTGTCATCACATCAGTATCATCTGAGAAGTTAGTGTTCAGTGCCTGAGCTGCAGCTCTGAGGCTTCCCTTATATTGTAGGTACGCCCGTGGCCACGTGACTTTTACGTAGTCCTCACCCTAAGAACTTTACCCCCCCGAGCCATCTCTTCAGGTCCCTATCACACTCATTTTTTAAGGCTGTCTCCATGAGATCACTTGTGATCTTTCACTTTTTTCATGTAAGGAGATTGAGGCTCAGAGTGACTTATTTGTCCGGGAAGGCATCCAAGGCTTCAAACTCTGAGTTGTCTACAATTGGTGTGTCACTAGAAGGGTGGCCTATCTGGTGATGAACCCTGCCCTTGAAGGCCCTGCCATTTGAAACACATGGACAAGACAGCATTTATCTGTTGGAAATGTCCCCCACGTGGAGCACAAGCATCTGGAGCCAGCTAGAAGGCGCTGGGGATACTGGGTGGCCGCAGCAGTGGGCATGTAAGGACACGTGCTGGGGCCCGCATTCTGCCAAAGGCCCCTTCTGCTGGCATCTCTGCTCAGGAGAGGCGCCGCCTGGTCTTGTCTGGACCCCGAGCGCACTGCGCTTGGCCACCGAGGCGCACCAGCTGTGCGCCCCCCCAACCCCACAGCTCGCTTATCACGGGCGCTCCAGGTGCCCCACTCGCAAGCGACAGCGGAGGCCACGAGTCCCCCACACCCCAGGGGCGGAGCGAGGCGCAGAGACGTCAGGGCGGGGACCTAGCGCGGCCGAGCGCGCTCTCCCGGAGGCTGCCGGCAGCCCACGTCCCCGGCTGGCGCGGCCGGTGGTGGCGGCGGCGGTAGAGACCGGGATCTAGCAGTTCGCAGCGGCGCTGGGGCGCAGCCAGGCGGCCGCGCCGGCGGAGACCGAGGTTTGAGCTCTGAGCCAGCCTTGCGCACATCTTTGCCCGCCCCTCAGGAGCGGACCCCACACGCCCCTCAGCTGTCCCCGGAGTCGTTGAGCCCCCCACGAGTGCCCTTCCATCTCCTTGAGTGACTACAGCGTGTGTTTTGTTTTTCTTTCTTCTTCCCCTGCCCGTGTGCCCTTCTCCAGGATGGCAGAGGCGGAATTGCACAAGGAGAGGCTGCAAGCCATAGCAGTAAGTCCACTTTTCATTTCATTTTCTTGCTCTATTGTCTGGGGTGGACGGGGACCAGTGGGCTCAGGGCCAGCAACATGCCAGCCTGGTAGCCACAGGCCCTGTGCTGGGGTGAAAGTCTGTCCAGGCTTGGCGACTCTGCCTTTTGCCTTTATATGTCTGTAGACTAAACCCCTGGGGCGCACTTGGGACTAGAAGGATTTGAACATGGAAAATTGGCTTAGAAATAAGATGCTTGCTACCGCGCTTCAGGGATAGACTAAACAGAGGCGGGGGTAGTTCATGCGTGTGTTGCAGGGGACTCTTGAAATATACCAGTAGTCAAAAGTAGGTTGGCTTCCAACTCCCGAGAAGGGAGAGAATAGTGACCCCACGGTGGCTATCTTCCTCTGCCTTGCTGGCTTTCCAGACAGCTGACTGCGTGGTACAACCTCCCCCAGAAACCAGGAGTGCTGGTTTTCCTCTCCGTTTGACATTAGCAAGGGCTCTGGCACAGGGCACCACCCTAAAGAGGGCAGGGGCTTCTTTCAGCTGGGTCTTGGGAGTAATATTTCAGGAGAGTCTTTCTCGTGGGTGTGGATTATCTGAAAACTACTGGTTCAGCATACAAAGGAACATCCGGTTTGGGCAAAGTTCTGCCCTTGGAGAGCACCATACCATGTGTATCTCGGGTTCAGACAAGAGCCGTCTGACACTGCCTAGATTGGAGAGGCCTTGCCAGTTCTGCCAGTGTTCCACAGATGTGGTTTTCACTGGAGCCACCACAGCTGGATTATATATTTCCTTTGCAGATGAGGGAATCGTTACTGGCGCTATATGAAATAATAGCAAATTAAAGGAGGTCTGCTAGAATGTTGGCATAAAAGAATCTCCAGACATTCTTCCATCGAAGTACTCCCTCCCACCCCCGTGCTCCAGGAGTTCCCTGGAAACACATAAATTGGTTGGAGAAATACTGTGTAAGAAGCGGCATGTGTATGAAAGTGTTTTCAAACACCTTTGGATGGAGTCTTCATTGGGAAAATGCATGCAGTGTAGGCTCAGTAGCTCGGAGACCCTCTTTCTCAAATTATTCTGATCTGAAGGGTTATGTCCGGAAGGAGAAAGCTGTGCATGGACTGTGGTGAAACGCCATGCTTGGCCTCTGAGACTGTCTTTGAAGTTGGTCCTTGGACTTAGGGAGGCTGTTCTTTCCTTTCGTTTTGATGCAGTGCATGTACATTTTGGTGGTTAATGAAGTTGCTCATGGATTCTAAAGCCAGTGTCAAGGCAATGTGGCAGCCTGCCTTGATTAGCATGCTACAAATGGTGCCATGGAGCTGGTGGGTGTTTTGTGTAACTGGATAATGGGCTGCTTCAACTGTTGACAAGTGTCTGCTTCAGACAACACTCAGCCACTCCATGGGCTGCTGCTGGCTGTTTGCAACAGTTGTCATATTTTCTTGCCTCTGTATGACCAGTGTCCCTGGATGCCTTGGGGACAGCTGACTCCATGAAAGGACTTTCTTTCTGAGCACAGTGCCAGTGGTAGCTAACACCAGGGCCACCCCTTCCAAATAGGCTGGAGTAATCTCAGCCATGGCCAAGGTGATTTTCAATAAAGATCTAGGGGTACCCTCAGGGTTCTCTTGAGCAGATAGAAAGATAAATACCCACTCAGTTCTGTTCAGTTGTGGAACGGAGTTCATCCTGTGGACCTAGGAACTGTTGAGGAGTTTTGGGAATGGAGGGGGGGGGGTCAACATCTGCAAAATTCTGTGTTGGGAAAATTTTTTCTAAGTGTTATCATTTTGTGTGGGTGTGGGAGGGAGGGAGAGAAGAAGAAGAAGAAGAAGAAGAAGAAGAAGAAGAAGAAGAAGAAGAAGAAGAAGAAGAAGAGATGTTGAGAATGGAAGAGAACAGTGAGGGTGGACTTTGTGGCTACAATCAGTAGATAATTTTATGCCACATTTTGGCTTAGTCCACACTTTCCAGAATCAGCAAACCTTGCCTCTCTTGGCCACTTTCCCAGAATTCTCAGGGGGCTCTGAGATGCTTACAGGCCTTCCCTAGAACCTACCCTGCCTGAAGTCCCTCTGGAGATAAAAGGGAAAAGAGTGATCCTTCACATCTTCACCTACTTGGGTTCCTGGGTCTTGTTCAATCTTGAGTCTGAGCCTCCATTTTTTCATCTATAAGTTGGGCCCAGGACTTTATCTCTTGGGCGACCTTTGAAGACCAGGAAGGTGAGGCACTTTAGGCCCACAGTTGCCATGGAATGATATTCAAGGGGAGCCCTCAGCTGTTGTCTACATTGCTGAGAGGGCAGGGCATAGCTCTGATTTTCTTTTCAACTCTGGGTGGGGGTCAGGTTCTAGCCAGGATCACTTCCTCCACAGCAGGGATTGGGACCTGAGAGCCATCCGTGGGTTCATTTCCCAGGTTTCTATGGAGTGTCTTTTCTAGGTACCACCAGTGCTGACAACCACCATTAGAAAGGTCTTGCCCTGACACAATTGATTTAAAAAGGTGTGTGAGTGTGTGTGTGTGTGTGTGTGTGTGTGTGTGTGTGTGTGTGTGTGTTACTATGTAGCCCTGGCTGGCCCAGAATACACTATGTAGACCAGACTGACCTTGAATTCACAAACATCCACCTGTCAGAGCCTCCTGAGTGCTGGGATTAAAGGTGTGTGCCTCCATTCCCAGCCTCAAGCTTAATGTTTGAAAGGTCAGGTATCTGGTGATCCAGGATATCTGTTTCATGATTGTCTGTGGGAATCACCCAGTATGAGTTACTAAGTGGCTACAGTGCCTCTATTAAATCTACTAAGTCAATGAGAAAGGAAAGCTTTTGAGTCCTTTCAAATGAGGAAACTCCATCTTTGACAAGTGTCTTTCCTCCTTGGGCCTTTCCTTCTAGAGAAACCCCCACAACTGTACCTTTAGAACCAACAAAATGCTTCTGGCAACAAAATAAGTGAGGAGAAATAATACAATGATTGCTATTTATTAAATGTTGCACATCCATCAAGGCCTTGGGTTAAGTTCTGGTTTCGATTAAGCACAAAGTTGCTCACAGTCAAGGATGGATTGGGAAAGCATATGAACAATTACTGTGAATTACAAGTAAGGCAGTGTACACAACCTCGGGTGTAGAACATGGAAACTAGCCTCAAGGTATGTAGAGCACCACACACTCCCAGGCCCTAAGAGCAGTCACCTGAATAGGCTTGGAGGTTGGATAAAATAACATAGAAACTAACATCATAACCTTCCTGATCACCACGGGCATTTATTCATTTTTGTTTGCTATTATTTCTTTGGAACAATTAGTATGGGGAAGAGAAAGGCAAAAGCAAGAAGTTAAGTCAGTAGCTGGCAGTAAGAACATGGTGACAGACTGGTGTGTGTGTGTGTGTGTGTGTGTGTGTGTGTGTGTGTGTGTGTTGTTATCTGTGTGCATGTGGTGTGTGTGTATGCACAGATGCAGTAGCCTTTGTCATCGTGTGTAGAGGTCAGAGGTAGATGTTGGGTATCTTCCTCTTGTCCTCTATTTGTCTTTCTGAGACAGAGTTTCTCAATGAACCTTGAGCTCTCCAGTTATGCTACACTGGCCAGCCAGTCCCCAAGATCTGCCTATCGCTGGCCCCCAGCACTGAAGTGTAGACATGTGCCTCCATGCTTGGACTTTTACATGGATGCTAGGAATCTGAACTCAGGACTCCATGCACAGCCAATACCTTACCCACTGAGCCATCATCCCAGCTGCCATGAACTGCTTTTATAAATTTATTTGTTTTTATTTATGTGTATATGTGTGAGTTTATGTGCAGGTGTTTGAGGTGTTGGGTCTCTTGGAATTGGAGATACAAGTGATTGAGTCTTGTCTGATGTTGATGCTAGGAACTAAACCTGTGTTCTCTGCAACAACAGAAAGGACTCTTAAATGCTGAGCCATCTCTCCAGATCCCCAGGAAATTCTGTTAACAGACATTACCTCACTTAACTCTAGCAGGAAGCTTATAAAGTAGACATTATTCTTCTATACCATTTTAGAGATGGCCAAGTCAGAAGTCTGTTAGAATATTAAACGGACAGTGCCAAAATCAGGGTTTCAGCCCACAGGCCATGAACTCAATGGAAGATGACTGCAGTACCTCATCTTTTCTCACAGGGGCACTGTGCAGGTGGTCTACAGCCTCAGTGTGAGCCCCTGAAAGGGAAGCAGAATGCATAGTATTAGAAAAACTTGAGTAAACCAGGACACCTATATCCTTTGGAGACTCTTCCAAGCCTGGGTTGAGCATGGAAAATCCCAATATAAACTTTAACCCAGTAACATTCTCTTGGGGAAGAATCGGCTCAGTCTCAATGGAAACTGACTTTGGGGGAGGGTGTTGTTATGTTTCCATATCCAAGGGGGAGATAGCTTTCCTTGGGCATGAGTCAAAATGAGTAAATGTTATAGAGGCTGTCTTGGGTAAAAGCCCCAAGAGTCCCATGGAAAAGGCCCTCAACATGACTATATCAATGTGTGCTGAAAAAATGGGATGTTAATCTAACCTACACTTCTCTTTGTGGAGTTTTGTCATGTGTTAGAAACCCACTCTGTGGAATGATAAAAATCTCCTTTGCATGTGCACAGAACCTCACAGCTCACACAAATGGTCTTCATTCTGCATTCACTCTGTCATGTGTAGTGTCACTGTCTCCACTGCAAGCCGAGCATCCAGACCCACAGAAAGATGAGAAAGAGTTTGGGGAAGCTTTGGTCTCTCCATATCCAGCCTGGATTCTCCTGAGCTGGGAAGAGAGTGGCGAGCTTGGAGACACATGAGCTTGGATATGCCTTTATCGAATCAGAACCCTCTGAGATCTTGCTTAAGTGCTCTCTCTCTCTCTCTCTCTCTCTCTCTCTCTCTCTCTCTCGTTCAGTCCCTCCATTCCTCTCTTGATCCCTCCTTTCTTTGAATCTCTGTCTTCTCTGTCTCCCTTCCCTTCCTCCCTCCCTCCCCTCCCCTA